GAGAGAGAGAGAGAGAGAGAGAGAGAGAGAGAGAGAGAGAGAGAGAGAGAGAGAGAGAATCTTTGAGATTCTTTGCAGAGAGTGCTTGTGGAGGAAGCAATGAGGAGGTCCAAAGAATAGACTTAGGCTTTTCTGTTACTTTTGTTGAATCCAATAAAACTAAATTGAGAGCTAAGCTGAGAAGAGATTAATCAATGTGGAGATTGATGAACTATGCTGTGTCACCTGTACCAGGAGGCTTGCTCTGTATTAAAATGCACACCACTCCCTTTCCTGAAGTGCATCCCATGGCGAATGTCAACCCAAAGTTCCTGGAAGCAACTTCAGTATTTCATATGCTTGTAGTTTTTATTTTTTATTTTTATTTTTTCTTAGCTCTGGAATTAAAGCCAACCAGACAAAAATGAAGGATAGCTGTTCACATCATTCCTTCTTTCACTTTCCCAACCCTCCAAGTCGTACAGTCCATTCTCAAGCAAAGAGAATCTGTGACTTCTTTCAAAATAGAGGGTTAGGCTGGTGAGGCAGCTCAGCAGGTAAAGGCGTTTGCTGCACAAAACTGATGACTTGGGTTCCATCCCCAGAGCCCATGGTGAAACTAGGGAACCGACCCCAAAAAGTCAGGCTCTGACCTCCACACACGCACCATGGTGTGCATCCAACGCGCGCGCACACACATGTACATGAACAGAGCTGGGAGGGTTAGCTCAGTTGGAAAAATGTTTGCCTGGACCTGAGACAGACACCCAGAATCTACATTTAAAAAAAATCTGGACATGGTGAAGTATACCTATAATCCCAGCACCAGAGAAGAGAGGCAAAGACAGGAAGGTCCTTGGAGCTTGCTAGCCTGCCAGACTAGCCTCATTGGTGAGTTGCAGACCAAATGATAGACTTTATCTCAAAAAACAAGGGGGATGACTCCTGAGGAGCACCTGAAGTTGTCTTCTGACCTCCACATGCATGCATACATGTGTGCATTTGCATATGCACAGATATGCACAGATGTGCACACATAGACCAGAGCTGGCCTGAGGACAAAGCTCAGTTGGGAAAACGCTTGCCTTGCGTTTGTCAAGACATGGATCTGACCCTCAGCACTATGAAACAATAAAAAGAAAAGAGCTACCTCTGGCTTTGGTCCTGTCTTTCCTGGTAGGTCCTGCATAATTTTGTCCAGAGAGAGTAAGCTCTGTGACAGTTTCCATGTTTGTCTTTTGCTTTCTTATAAACTCCTCTGACCATAACCTGCTTTTCTGAGACATTAATCTTTGCCGTTCTTGAATTCCACAGACATCTCTAGGACAGGACTCCCTCTCAGTATCAAATACATCTACAATTCAAGTTCAAGAGATATATTATATAATTTTCCATGTCAGGGGAGCTTGCTCTCTGAGATTTGGTTCATGATAATCCTATGCTTGTAATCTCAGTGCCTAAGAGGCTGCGGCAGGGGTATCATAAGTTTGAGGCCAGCCTTGGCTACCTGGTGAGACCCTGTCTCAAAATAAAAGAAAACACAGAATTGATTCCTTTCTAGTGTTACGTTTACAAAGTCTTCTATGTGGTTTGGAGGAGAAATTCAATTTGCAACATCAGTGCACACTGCAGGTGTTATAGAAGAGAGTCGACCAAGCATAGCAGGGCTAGATAGGGGACACACTTGCAGGTGTTATAGAAGAGAGTCGACCAAGCAGAGCAGGGCTATATAGGGACCAGGTTTGTTAGACTTGTCCATGGGCTGCACAGACTCTTCCCTTCCAAGTCTGAAGGCAGATGAACCTCCAGACTGAACCCAGCTTCAGACTGAGCCTGTTGCCAGAATCATCTCCATTTTCAAATGAGTTCCCTTTGCCCTTGTTTCTTCTGATAATGACAACCCTGGCAGGAGGTGACGAGAGTTTCTTCCACCACCGTCTGCCCACTTTTGCCATTATGTTTGTGTATTCTATTTGGGGGATTGTTCGCAGCTCCTGTTTTAACTTGGCCCAGCATGCTCAGTTATCTCACATCTTTGGGCATAGCCATCTCTTCCTGCTATCATTTGATAAAGGCCAGAATGAGACAAATTCCCCAGAGATCCATTCTTCTTCTTGCTGAGTCAAACCCATCAGAGACTGCCTTCCCATGACAGATCTGAAATCCCTGTTGTTTCCACAAGCCAACTTGAATAATCAAGACAACAGAGAGCTCTTCTTGCCTTGATGAAAAGCCACAAGAGCCTTCTCTTTAAAGGGTGAGAAAATTAATTCCTGGGCCTTTATGAGGTTTGGATGTCTCCCTTGGCCCTTGTCTTTCTTGCTTCATGGTGTTCTAGCATTTGTACATTTGAGACATGGACTAAAGACCACACAATACTGTCTGCCTTTAGCTGGAAAGCAGGCTGAATGGTCCCATGACATGTCCCACAACAGGAAAGGTTGATTTGAACAGCTAACCAAAGAAATCCATTGTCATGGTATGAAACTGAGAGAGGCGGAACCAGAAAGTGTTTTATAGGAAACTGACAGAATGAAGGTTAGGAATACTTCACCTGTCTAAAAGCAGAATATGCTTGAAAGACCCCAGAAGATTGGAACTTTTGTAACATGAGCAATGAGTATAAAAAGTGAGGAGCCCTCCTTTCAAACAGGGATATTCTTAAATCTAAAATCAAAGGAAAAATGTACAGCTGTGCAGAAGGAGGTTCTGGAATGTAACTTTAATTTTCCAATGCTGTTTTATTTGCTCATATGAATATATGGCTTTGTAATTGTCCATAGGTTGCTTTTATTGTTTGTGTTTTTTTCTTCCTAGGTAAACTCTCAGGGCAGGACCTGACTCCTCAGAAGAATCTTTTAAATCTCTTTACAGAAGTGCTCATGTCAAGGTCATGCTGGAGAAGAAGCTGAGGAGTAATTACTAGCCAACCACAGCTGGAAGCCTAGAAGATAGAGCAATCAGCACCCTGCGTCAATGGCTGTGCTTCAGACCAAGAGGCAACCAAGCCACTTCTTCCCATATGACCTGGAGTGCCTGTGTATGGTTTTGAGGGAAGAGGGCAGACGGAACTATGAACTTGGTGTCCATGTCACCTGGGAAAAGAAGCAAGCTCTTGTATAAGATGACCGTGGGTCAGGAGAGTGTGCACTGTGAGTTTATGGTATGAAGAGGTTGAGGGGCCCCCTTGGAGCCACTCAGCTATCCTAGTTTTAACCTGTTCTTGTTCCTCATCGTTCCCACCTGTAATTCTGTCTTGGCAACAGCTCCACACTGAGTGTTCTCAAAGTACTTTGTAGACTTTAATTAGTTCCGTGGGAAGTGAGGCAAAGTCCAGCCTTCAATTTGCGAAAAGATGTTGGAAGTTGGGGAACAGGGAAGAAAGACAGCTAGATAGCCAAGCAACCTTCTGAAGGGTGTGTGGTGCAGGAGGGTGTGTGGTTAAAACCCCTGTGTCCTGAGCCTTGGTAGGAATGTCTTAGCCATCTAGTCCCAAACAGTGGGCTCATCCTACTAACCTACTTTGCTAGGGTGTTGTTGATGAATGCTTATAAACCCTATCCTAGATGACAGGCTTGCGAGATAGTTAAGGAAAGCATGTCATTAAGTCCCTACTCACCCCCTCTCTACGACTAGCCCTGGAGAAATGGAAGATAGCCAGAACCCAAGGGCTTCCACTTCCAGAGATGTTTGGAGCACTCACCAGCAGTGAGGGAATCAGGGACGCTGGCTGCAGGATGACCAGTGGGGACTGAGGAAAGTCTAAAACAGGTGACCCATAGCCAGGTGGGTCAGAAAAGATTGTCACAAGATGGCTGACTCCTCTAAGGCTCTATGGATGGCTGCTTTCTTAACATACAGGACACAGGTTTTGCAGTGTTCCCCCTTCTTCGCTTTGAAGGCCCTCTCTGAGGCCTGTCACAAGGTATCTTTTTAAATTAGGTTTCTATTGCTATGATAAACACATGACCAAAAACAACTTGGGGAGGAATGGGTTTATTTTAGTTCTCAAGGGAGGAACCTGGAGGCAGGAACTGAAACAGAAGCCATGGAGGAATGCTTCTTACTGGCTTGCTCCCAATGGCTTGCTCAGCCTGCTTTCTTATACCATCCAGAACCACCAGCCCAGGGCTGGTACCCCCATGGCGAGCTGAGCCCTCTCATACCAATCATTAATCAAGACAGTACCCCCACAGGTTTGCCTATGGGCCAATGTTACTGGGACATTTTCTTGATTAAGATTCCCTCTTCCAGGGAACTAGAGAGATGTCTCAGAGGGTAAGAGCACTTGCTGTTCTTCCAGAGGACCCAGCACCCACATGGCAGCTCACAACCATCTGTAACTCCAGTTCCAAGGAGTCCAACACCTTCTTCTGGCCTCTGCAAGCACCAGGCACACAAATGATACACAGACATACAAGCATACAAAAACTTATACACATAAAATAATAATTTTTTAAAAAAGATTCCCTCTTCCCAGATATGTCTAAGTTTGTGTCACGTTGACAAAAACAACTGGCACAATATCAAAGGAGCATTTCTTTCCAAGGAGTTGGACGTTCCCCACTCTGTGTGCCTGTAGCCCTTCTGGGTACTCAGGGACCTGGTTGACTCTAGGTTGTTCTATGCTTCTCTGAAAGAAGTAGTTAAGAGTTTGGGCTCTGACTTAAGAGATTAGAGTTGCAGGCCTTTGTCATTTCCATTCCAGTCAAGTTGAGTAAGTTACTTCTCTAAGCCTTGATTTTCTCATCTATAAAATGTGCCCAGTAGCAATCCCTAACCTAAAGGTTTGCTATGACGTTAAGTTAAATGCAATAATTCAGATAAGCCTTAACATGGTGCTAGCATATGGCAAGCACTTGACTCGTTTTAAACCTGGCTCTTGTATCTAAGACCACCGCAGTACTTTCCTTTCTTGAGTTCCAGCCTCTTCCCTGGTCCACTTATACTTTCTTCAGTGGAAAGTCAGGGTAGACACCAACTTCCTTTTCAAGTCAGTGAGAGCAAGGTAGAGTTAAGATGGCCCTCCCACTTATGTGGGCTTGTTATACACACATTAATCCTGTTCTGGATGCCTAATGTGTCCTCAAAAAAGCTGAGTGTGTGTTTTGCTCGGGCGATCTTTTTAGATGACTGTGTTGGCAATGCTCAAGCAAAAAATCAGAGCTGGGAGAAGAGGGGCTAGTGCTTGAGAACAAGATGCTCTTCATTTCCAGGCCAGCTGAATCCTCCAGCTTCCCAATCAAAAGGCCTTGGTATTTCTATGTTGTAGATTAAAAAATGGAAACTCAGAGAGATTAAAGGCTACACTTAGACTCTTTCTTCTAGGGATGGCAGAGCCTGGCTCTGAGTGTGGTTCTGACTCTTACACTGGTCCTTTTTCTACACCCAAATCACCCCCACAGGAAGGATCTGCTTTTGCCAAAGGTCAGCACATGTACCTTTAAATCTCTCACCATCCCTGCCAGGGGCACCTTCCTGATGCCCCACACCCTGTGGAAACATGCTCCTCTTTACATATTGGTCCTTTTCTAGGATGCTTCTCCTATGAAATTCCCATCTGGTCTTTGAAGCTTAGGAAGTTTCCCACCTCTGAGAAGGTGTCAAAGGAACATTCCCTTCCAAAGAGTTGGGTATTGCATTTTCCACGTGCCCTCAGCACTTTCTTTATATTTCTGTTTTACTATTTATAATCTTGTTTTTAGATTCTCTTCTCACCCCAGTATCCCATAAACTGTGATCTTTGAAGACAGGAATCAACATCTCCTGTCTGTCATTGCTCCCCGACACCCAGAGTAATGACTGATACCCAAAAGTTGAGTGAGTTATGGAGGCGAGCAGTCCGGTCTCAGACAGGTGGTGTGAAGTTAGTGAAATTGCTTCCTAACATACCTAAGAGAAGGCTGGTGAGATGGTTCTGTGGGTAAAAGCATCTGCCCCCAGCCCGAAGACCTGAGTTCCATCCCCAGACCATACATGATGGAAGGAGAGAACCGATTCTTGCAAGTTGTTCTCTGACCTCCACACGAATGCCATTGCACATGAGCATGTGCACCCATGCATCTCACACACACACACACACACACACACACACACACACACACACACACACACCTTTTGAAGTTTTTGAGACAAAAGTACCTTAAGTAGATATACTATATCCAAAGAATAAGGTCCTCCAAAGACAAATGACAGTGGTGTTATCTCTTTCTGTTATTCTTTGTGTTATTTGGGTTAAGTGATGTGTTATATTAACTATTGTTAGCTGCTCTTTGTTTGCCTCCTCCCAATAGAGTCCATCCGGTTGAGTATGCAAGCCTATCTCTTAAATTGTACACATCATTGTGTCTCTTGCTTAGCATTGATACAGGAAGTTTATTATAAAAACCATGCCATTCTGGGACTACAGGTTGAGAGTGCTCTCCTGGTCATTGTGGCTCATTCCTGATAGAATTTGGTGTGGTTTTACTGAAATCCCAGTAGCTGAAATATTTGTTTGCTATTTCCACACTCTAACTTGAGAAATATTTCTTTTCACTTTGTTTTATTCACCTCAGTTTCTTGCCATAGTGACTGACACATAGGATGCTTGAGAAATTTTGTTGAGCATGTAAATGCTTTCTATTGCCTTCAGATATTTCATACAGATAAAGCATATGTGATGGAAATATAAGAGTAAACAAAGAAAACATGCCTCTGTGCCTAATCCTCTGGCTTAAGAACTAGATTGTCGTTAAGACGTCAAAGCCTCCTTTGTGTCCCATTCTAATTATCTTCATCCTCTCTCCCTCTGGAGGAAACATCTACTCTAATGATTTTTTTTACATTTATTATCACCTGCAGTTTAGCTTTGTTACATATAGACCTTGGCCAAGACCTTATATGGCTCTAAATATATCTGAATTCTTGTAAAACTTCAGTCATGATGTATGAATTCTCCAATGAGTTGCTTTTTTCTCTCAACATTTTGCCATTCTTTCTGTTGCTCATAGACTTCAGTTCATTTTTATTGATGTGTTATGAAGAAATGACTAAACCACAATCTACTTAACCATGCTCCTATCAAGAGGTAGACCAGTTGACCACAGATAGCATACTCAGTGCTGAAAGCCCCCAGGCTTCCCTCTAAGGTCAGAAACAAAGTAAAGGTGTCTGTCTGTTCTGGGAGTTTTAGCCCCAACAATCAAGCAAGAAAAACTAGTGCAAGGTCAGGGGATCTTCAGTGAAGATGCCAAGAACCCCAGTGAAGAAGGATTCATCTCTTTAGCAAATGGTGCTGGTAAAACTGGACATCTACATACAAGAAAGAGAAGCTGGACTCTGAGTGCATTCTGTGTACAAATATTAACTAGACCTGGGCATGGTGGCATATCCGTGTGATCCCACACTTAGAGCGATGAGGCTGGAGGATTACAAGATTGAGGCCATCCTGGGTAAGACTGTCTTCAAAAGGGAAGGAGGAAGATAGGGAAGGAAAGCATAAAAAAGAAAAGGTTAAGGGCCTGGACTGGAGATAGTACAGGGTAGACTATCTACCTAGCATGACAGGACCCTGGTTCAATTGCCAACACCACCAGAAACAAAAACAAGCAAAATGCTGAAAATGTGTCAATGACCCAACTGTAAAACCTGAAACCATAAAGCCCTCCTGTCCTAACGTGGAATGCAGGGGAAAGCTTCATGGGTTTGGATTTCACAGTTATTCCTTGGAGATGATACCCAAAGCATAGGTCACAGAAGCTAAAAACAGACAAATGAGAGCATGCTAAACATCAGACCTGCACACGCAGGAAGTGAGCAATGCTGCAGACAAGTGACCTGTAAAACAGGAGGGTATTGCAAAGCATCTGAAAGGGTCAACCCTGAAAACCTCTAGAGAAATCTCACAACCCAACAGCACACCCAAGCATTCTCCTTAGAAAGTGGGCAGACAACTGGAGTAGAGAGCTATCCAGAGAAGGCACACAAAGGAAATGCAGCCATCAGAGATCTGAAAACAAGGCACAGAGATTCATCTCCTCGCACCCGGCAGGATGGCCACAAGTGGGAACTAGGGAAGTGGCTCAGCAGTTAAGAGTACTCACTGCTCTTGCAGAGGACCTGAACTGGGTCCCCAGCACCCATATCTGGCTGCTCACACCCATCTGTGACCCTACCTCCAGG